TGAAGAACAAAAAGGACAGCAACTTGTCTGTTCCCCTTCACCCAATTCCCCAGCGCTGTTCCCATCCCCCAATTCCCCAATAAAAAAAAAATCTTAAAAAAAAAAAGAATTAGAGGTACTAAGTTTATGAAGACCAGGGTGAGTAGTTGGAAAAGAGCATTTTTTGAGATTATTTCAAAGGACATTGATTTCTTCCTGAACCCCGTTCAACCGAGTGATTGCCCTTCATCTTGGTATGAAGACTAGAGATTTGCCCTTTGGAGAAGGTGAACCAGGGAGGAGTGGGTCAGCCACTTCTCTAGATTCCTTTCTGTAGAGAACCTGACTGGTTCAATAGATAGGGCCTACAGTGACTGACATTTGGGAGTCATCCAACAAAATATCCCAGGTTCTAGGTTATCACCCTATAGTGGAGTAGACCATTTGACAACCTCTGGATAGAATTTTCTGTTCAGTGTTTTAGACTCACTTATCAACTGCTAATAGAATTACTTCTACTTGGTAAATGACCTGTTAAAATCTTCGTTTCAAATCATTCACTGCGTGTGTGTGTGTCTGTGCGTGTGTATAGTGACGTAACGTACTATGTAGCTGACTGAAAAACTGCTCTTGGTTTCCAGACTTTCTTTTTTTTTTTTTTTTAAAGCTGAGCCACCCTGCCACCTGTTGGCAGCTCAGTGGCAGCTCAGCTCGGGCTGTGAATCGAACTGGTGACCCTGTGGCTCAGAGCGCACACTCTTGAGTTAGCTCTTAACCAACTGAGCCACTCGGCCAGCCCTTCCAGACATTTTTTTAACCTCTATTCTAGTTTGGTAATATATTGGATACTTCACAGTTTATAAATATCTGACTTATATGTATGACATGTTACATTAAAATTGTATTACTAACATTGATATAAATGTTATCCTTAATAAAATAATAGTATTCACAGCTTTCGTAACTGGATGAATTTTATGAAATCTGTAATTTTTAGTAAAAAAAAAAGATAGTTGTCCTCATAGGTAATTTTGTTTTCTCTTTCCTGATTTATAATATGTAATTTAGGGAATTAAGTAGTCCCTGAAATGCTTTAAAATTATCAGCAAATATTTCTAGTTCAAGATTATGGTTTATAATAGCTTACATGTGAACATGTACAGTATTTTACTTTTCAAAGAATTTATATACCATCTTGTTTCTAACTTTCACAGAAATTCTAGCGTTAGAACAAGTAATTATATCACAATCACACTAAGGTTCAGTGAAATTGAGTAATTTGCTCCAGACTACATAGATAAATGTGACCACAACACGTGTATTCTTAATGTGTTTTCTGTTTGACCAAAATGCTCAAAATGCATAATTCTTCTGTTTCAGCTCTAACTTAATTTATTTTTAAAAAATGACTTCTATGTTTGCTTTTTCCTAGGGAAAGTATGTTCAAGAAGGCAAAAACAAAGGCAAAAAAGAAGCCACGTAAACGTTCAGATAGTTCTGGAGGTTATAACCTTTCAGATATTATTCAGAGCCCACCATCTACAGGTTAGTGTAAAGTGTTTTAGGATGTATTTTCTGATCTCATCTCTCATGTCTCTATTCATTGTCTAATTCATTTAATATGTATTAAATACTATTATTTTATTTTTTTTTATTATTATTATTNCCAGCTCCAGGTTGAGCCGTTGTTCAGCATCTTAGCTGTAGAGGGCAGTGTTACTGGCCCTCATATGTGGGATCCGAACCGGCGCCCTCTGGCGTCCCAAGCCAGTTCTTAACCATTGTGCCACTCGGCCGGCCCAGTAGTGGAATTTTTAATGAAATAAATTTACTTATTTTTTAATAAGGTGAAAATTTTATTACATTTATTCACTGTAAAATCAATGGTGGGAAAAATGAGTCTGTTTTGATGAATACAGAAATTGGATATTAGAGATCTTGGTGGCAGTTTACATTTTTAAAGTTCAGTGTCTGGTTTATTTCTGTATTTTGTTTTACTCATAATAATAACTAATACTACCATCATAATTATTAATGCTAATAACTAATAATAGTAATAATGATAACTAATACTATGTGCCAGGCAGCATTCTAAAAATTTTGCATAACTACAGTTTATATCATAAAGTAGATTCTGTTTATAACCTCATATTACAGATGAGAAAACCCAGTAAACTTTTTTTTATAAAGAATCAAAATCTTGACCCATGTAATTTACTGTAAATGATAAGTTTTTGATAATTCACTTTTCAAAGTCAGGATCATGTTTAGTGAAACTAATTCTTAAACATGATTGAAATAAAAGTGTTCTGTTAGATTCTTATAGTTGCCCTTAGTTCACTTTAGAGGAAATAATATTTTGGCAGTTTAATGCTTTGTTATTTTATTAAAAAAATGCTTTTCAAATGCAAATTAGTGTTATGGGATATTAGACAATGTCATTTTAAAGTGCCTGGTATTTTAGTGTGATAGCCTGACTAGGGTTTCAGAATAAATTTAATTCTTTGCTGACATTGCATTAGTAATTATAATCATATAATCATAGCTAATATTTTTTAACCTAGTTAAACGTATTCAGGTTGTCAGATAATAATCAACCAAAATGTAAAACAAGCACCAAATATATCTAAACTATGATACTGGAAAATTACTTCTCATACTACTATTGTTTAGTTGTTAGTTACGTTGTGACAGTCTGTCAGCTGAACTATTAAGGATGGCATATGTGCTGTGGTGATGTCTATGTACATAATTTTACATGTGTAGACATGCATAAATTGCTTTAAAACAAAGATTTGTACAAACTTAAACATTCCTAACCAAAGATGTGTGTGCTATAAGTGCAAATTAAATATGCACAGAAATGTTAAGAAAGGGTGGTGCACCAAAATTGACATAGCATCACAAGTAAATTATCCTCAAAATGTTAAAACTGATATGGTACAGATTTGGATATGCAAGTTGTTTTATATTAGTTGTAAAAAATAATTTAAAATATAATTCAGAATGTGCACTTTAAATTTTCTCTGACGCCTTAAAGCACCTCTATGACCTAAAAACGCCTTAAAATCTACTTTACTACTGATCTAGTCTGAACATCATTTTACACATGAATATGCTAAAGCCCAGAAAGGTAAAGTGAGTTGCTCAGGGTCATGCAGGTAATTGGTAGCAGTGATAATTCTAGATAGAATTCAGGTATTCTTATAGTTAGGCCATTGTTCTATCAATGTAGCACTCCTTCTGTAGTTAAAAGATTGTAATTTGTGAGAAATGAAGGTTGAAAAATGAATACGTAATTGCTATTTCATTATGATAGAAAAGATTTTTCTGTAACTTATAAGAGTTGCTTGAGTTTTCTTCCAGATATTTGTCTAGTGTGTTCATGCTGTTTATTTGAAATATATAACTACACATACTTTCAAAAAGAATTTGTAGCAGCTAGCATATTAATGCTTTTTTTAAAAAGTTATTTATTCAGCAATATAAAATGTTTCTACATATTTGAAAATCTTGACAGGTATTAAGTTACTTGAATAGTAATATAAAATTTTTATGTTATTTGTTAGGTCTCTTGATGTTTTAAGTGTTGGTGTTTTGAAGGATCTTTCTGTATTTTACCGGAAAATGGTAAGGTTTATTTTTTTTCAGTGATATTATTAACTAAAGCAGTATATTAAGTCAGACTTCTCAATGTAATAATTTCCCAATGAATTTTAATATATTAGGATATTTTTAAATTTCTTTACATATCCCACATATAAGCATAATAATCAAAATTGAAGATATTGAATGATAAAATTAGTATCTTTTAATTCCTTTATAAATGAAAGTTATTGAAAGCTTCAGAGTCTTTTGTTTATTATTTACCAAAGATCGGGACAGTGCAAAATTATGAATTCACATGATCCCCCAACAAATGAATTAATTTGTATTTTTAATATAGGGGAGCTATTTTGTCAAATTTTTTGTTTTGTTTTTTGACAGTTTCATGGAATAAACTTTTAATCTAACAACTTGATTTAAATTTAGGAAGTCATTAGGCATTCTAGACTTCTAGTTAACGTTGTCACATAAAAAAATGGAATATGCCTATATTAAAAAGTATTTTTATAAATTTTGTATTTAAAAGTGACATCTTTTCTGTAGATTCCAGCAATGGATAGAAGAGTCATTACACCATATCAAGATGGACCAGATATTAGCTATTTGGAAATAGAAGATGGAGATTTTTTTTTGAAAGAAGAAGTAAATATTGAACAAAATTATTTGTAAGCTCTGTTTTTTTTTTCTTCTCCTTTCCTTCCTTTCCCCCTAACCACCTCACTCCCACCCTTGATCTTGAACACTGTTGACATTTTTATATTGATACTGATAGAAAAAAATTGAGAAACCTGACATTAGAAATATGCATGTTCATTTTTAGCCTTTAAAGCACAAAGTAATGAATAGTTTATATTTGCAGAATTAACAAAATTACATAAAAATGTGAAAGGAGTATAGCCTTCAGGTTAAACATGTTAGATTGAATTAGTGCATTTATCTTAACTAATACCTTCCCAAACCCCGCTGAAGTTAAAGAAATAAAAAAGACAAAATGCATGAAAATGGAGAGAATAGGAAAGTAGTAAACAGCAGTCAAGATGTGTTAACAGTTTTGGAAGTTGGAAAGTGGTTGCTAAGCAGTAATGACTTAGAACAGAAAAAAACTAAAACAATGCTGGGAAGGCTTAAGAATTAGAGATACTAGGGCCGGCCAAGTGGCACGATGGTTAAGAACTGTCTTGGGACGCCAGAGGGCCCCGGTTTGGATCCCACATATGAGGGCCAGTAACACTGCCCTCCACAGCTAAGATGCTGAACAACAACTCAACCTGGAGCTGGGCTGTGGTGAGTCGCAGGCGACAGTGTAGGCTGCAACCCCTGCTGCAGTGGGTTGCCATGGGCTACCGTATGTAGCCAGCAGCCGCAGTGAGCATCCGTACAGAGGCCGGCGACTGATCTGCCTCACCC